TCCACCATAATTTGCAAATAAATTCATAAAAAATCCTACAATGTGATTTTCTGGATATTTTTTTCTCAATTTGTCTGTCATAGTTGACGTGTACCTATGATGAAAATTACAGGCCTCTCTCATCTTTTTAAGTGGGAGAACTTGCACAATTGGTGGCTGACTAAATAATAGTACCTAAGGAAGGCCCTATGAAAGATATATTCAAAATGCACTTTTAAGATTATACAAGTTGGCATATATCAAGAGTTTTAGAGTCGCCATGTGAGAAATGTGCTTAAAAACTAGCGATTAAAGATTAGGATAAATGTTCCGCTGGTTTGAGTCGCAGAGGTAGGTCCTCCCCCTTGGGTTGTAACCTGTTCTTAAATTAACCTGTGACGGTGAATGAACCTTCATTCTCAAATAAAAATTCATAAGGTTGTGAGGTCTGTATGAGGACTAATTATATTTCACTTAGGACCAAAATTAAAAGCCTTTGTTTAGAGAGAGTAACACAAAAACCAAAGGTATGTTCTTTGAATATGAAGTGAAATTATGATGGCACCACATTCTCTGAATGGAATTGTGAAAGATTTTCAAATTGCTCAATGACAAACAGTTATCAATTGTGGCCATTAACCATTTACTGCAGTGGGCTAAGTCAGGGTCACACAGAGTGTTTCTTGGTAGTCTTAAAAAAACTTTCAAAAGTATACATCTCACACACACATGGATATGGGCTTAAAAAGAAGAAGATACCTGTACCATGTCAGATATAGAGTTGAAATCTATTCAATTTTGAGTTTGAACCCCAATATTACACTTTATAGACATCACAGAAGACTGAAATATAACAAAAACCGTTTGACATAGAAACACCAGATTTTAAGTTTTGTTTATTTTTTATAATGTTTATAATATGAAATTATGAAAAATATGAATAACATTCCACCCATGAGGGCACTAGTCATTTGACTGCAGGAAAGGGATATGAGACCTTTGAATAAGCCGCACATTTTTACATTTACATTTTAGTAATTTAGCAGACGCTCTTATCCAGAGCGACTTACAGGAGCAATTAGGGTTAAGTGCCTTGCTCAAGGGCACATCGACAGATATTTCACCTAGTCGGCTCGGGGATTAGAACCAGCGACCTTTCGGTTACTGGCACAACGCTCTTAACCACTAAGCTACCTGCCGCCACTACGCACCACTGCCCTGCAGTATGAAAAGGAGGTGGTATAAAACAGGAGTGACACAGCAACACTACCAACATTATTCACATACAGTGGGGTCCGAAATGATTGACACCCTTGATAAAGATGAGCAATAATGACTGTATAAAATTAATAATTCAAATACTAAGCTGTACTGTATGCTCAAAAATGTGGGAAATTATATTATTTTATACTAATACAACTGCTCTAAAAGGTAGGGGTCAAAATTATTGACACCCCTAAAAATTCTTATAAATAAAGTAGTCAAAAGTTTAGTATTTGGTCCAATATTCCTAGCACGCAATGACTACATCAAACCTGTGACTCTACAAACTTGTTGGATGCATTTGCAGTTTGTTTCAGATTATTTTGTACCCAATAGAAATGAATGGTAAATAATGTATTCTGTAATAGAGTATGTTTCTAAACACTTCTACATTAATGTGGATGCTACCATGATTATGGATAATCCTGAATGAATCGTGAATAATGATGAGTGAGAATGTTACAGATGAACAAAGGTCATACCCCCAAGACATGCTAACCTCCCCTGTTACTGGTAATAGTGAGAGGTTAGCATGTCTTTGGGGTATGATGTTTGACCCTCTGTGACTTTCTCACTATCACTCACATTATTCATGATTCATTCAGGATGATCCATAATGTAGTCATTGTTTGCTAGAAATATGGGACCAAATACTACACTTTTGACTACTATATTTATAAGAATCTTTAGTGGTGTCAATCATTTTGACCCCTACCTTTTTGAGAAAAAATTATATTACTTGTTAAACAAAATCATCTCTTTCTCTGAGCAATTGTATTAGTATAAAATAAAATAATTCCCCCTATTTTTGAGCTCAGTATTTGAATTATTATCAAGGGTGTCAATCATTTCGGAACCCACAGTATACCAAAACAAGTACAATGGCAAAGGTGACATTTCCCATATCATACCACATGAACAACTCTATATACTGAGTATAGCCCACCTAAACATTCAATCAAGCTATGTACTGAATTGTGCCTTTTTCAAAACGACACCACTTTCCTTTAAACCACCCAAATGTTTATTCATTTGAAATTCAGATAATCTCACTGTGAACCAATGTTCGTCAGAGGTGGCCAGAAAGAGCATCTGTCTCTTTAGGCTCTTGACTCTCTCAACCACCTGATCCTCTGACTCACTGCCACTAATCCAGCCTCCCTTCCATCCTCACCATAGCTACACTTAGAAAAAAGGGTTCCAAAAGGGTTCTTCGGCTGTCCCCTAAGGAGAATCCTTTTTGTGTTCCAGGTAGAACTCTTTTGGGTTCCATGTAGAACCCTCTGTGTAAAGGGTTCTACATGGAACTCAAAAGGGTTCTACATGGAACTCAAAAGTGTTCTACCTGGAACCAAAAGGGTTCTACCTGGAACCAAAAAGGGTTCTTCAGAGGGTTCTCCTATGGGGACTGCCGAAGAACCCTTTTAGGTTCTAGATAGCACTTTTTTTTCTAAGAGTGTACAGTACCTCTCCCTTATTCTCTGTCTTGCATTGTTAGTGGGTTATTCAGGCAAGCGGAGCAGGAAACACTGCTGGGCTGAATCTCAGGCCTTCCCTCCAGGACACAGAATTGAGCCATCCTTGCTTTGACCCCTGCCTGTATTCTTTTCGGCAGTAATTTGATGCACAAGGCTCAGTGATACTCAATGATCCCCTCTGGTGGTCGGAACGTTCAACTGCCACTGTCATTGACTTTGCAGCATCAGCAAAATCTCTAATGCAGCAGCCATTATTTGAATGGAGGTGCATGTGTGCATACATATGAAGGCATTTCTGCCATTTTCATCAAGGCTATGATTGATGTGCACTGCAAATGGCCAATTAGGCATCATCACAGTATCAGATGGTGTTGATCGACCTTATTTATGATTTTCTTTGCTCCAATGGCCACTCCCTAACCCCCTCCCATCTGATCTCCTTGTGTCTGTCCCTTTAGCACTCAACGCTGTCACGCAAGTTTGTAGAGGTGATGACCGAGTACAACACCACGCAGTCCAAATACAGGGACCGCTGCAAGGACCGTATCCAGAGACAGCTGGAGATCAGTGAGTATATGTAGCCCACCACCATCGTAGGGCACATTTAATACAACACTATTACACTCAAGGGACTGACATTAGATACTATACTCTATATCAGGGATCATCAACTAGATTCAGCCGCGGGCCAATTATTTGTTGAGAGGATGGTCGGGGGGCCGGAACGTAATTACAAATAATTTGTAGACTGCCAATTGACCGCAAGAATCCCAAACAGATATAATGTTTGACTAAAACATAACAATTTCAAGCCTTGCTTACATTTGTATACGATTGTCCAACAATGAACATACCATTCCACTGATTCCGCTCCAGCCATTACCACGAGCCCATTTTCCCCTATTAAGGTGCCACCAACCTCCTGTGTTATGGAGATATTATACAAGTACAGTTCATAGAGAATAGAACCATACACAGACATTATACTGACATAATCAACCTATATTCTCTCTTTTAGGGTAGGTTAGGCCCAGATTTTGTTCAGCATTCTTTGACAATTACTTTGTTAAAATGACTGCACAAATACAATCCGATTGATTGATTGGTTGATTGATTTTGTGATTGGTAATAAATCAACAAGACTAATGCCATACACACGACTGACAAGGAGGTACGTTAGTATCTTACACAAGAAACAGCCAGAGTTCTTACTAAATATACACTGATACCCAACAGCACAGACACAAAGATGGGTTTTGTAGACGTAAGGATATTTTCAAGGCAGCCCCACTCATCTTCATACGAGACAGACTGGAATTCACAGACACTGAGTATCCTTTTAATACTGAAGTGCACAGATACAGACACTGGCAAGCGTTTCATACACAACTCACAGCCATAGTGACATCTGAGGTCCAGACATCAACTAATAGTATGCACAGACACAGTATTTTTCAAAGACTGGGACAGACTAAGCAGAATAAACGCATTTTAAGTTTATTAAGACGATAATATGTAGACAAGGGGGTTGAATGGCCACATATGACCACATATTAGCCAATGATAAGTTGCATAGTCATGCAGTTTGACTTTCCTTATAGTACAGTGATAAATTGATTGTAATTCAGCTCGTACGTTTAATTTAAAAGCTGTATTTTCTTTCATATTATTTCATTTTGAATAATATTTTTAGGATACCTTAGAGCTTTAAATTGATCTAGATTATTCTAGACATCTGGTTAGAGATACGTGCTCTTTTTTAATTACTGCCCAGAATCAGTGCTGTGCCTCAAAGTGGCACTAAAATGGTGGAAATGTGTTGATTTAAATAACTAACCTTTAAGTGCATCAGGCAAAGCGTTAAGATAATTTGTCATTGCGTGTGTGTGTGTGTGTGTGTGTTTGCGTGCGCTCGGCAGCTGGGAGAACAACCACCAACGAGGAGCTGGAGGATATGCTGGAGAGTGGCAAGCTTGCCATTTTCACCGATGATGTGAGTACAACACCTGAGCCTGGCCATTCCCCATGGCAGACATATATCCACAGTGAAGGCATGGGGACCACAGATGCTAATAACCTGTGTGGCTAGCTATAGCTAGCTACATCTGTCATGTTTGCATTCAATAAACTACTGTTATGTTGACTATTATTAGTCCTGATATTAATTTTCACAGAAGAAGAATGTTGATTATTACAGGTGGTAAAAGAACAGATAAAATCCTCTTCTCTCCTCATCCTCCATCTCCTTCTCAACCCTCTGTTTTGGGTCCTTAGATCAAGATGGACTCTCAGATAGACAAGCAGGCCCTGAATGAGATTGAGACCCGACACACCGAGATCATCAAGCTGGAGAACAGCATCCGTGAGCTGCACGACATGTTTGTAGACATGGCCATGCTGGTGGAGAGCCAGGTAAAGTTTTGTTTTTATTTGAAATGTTTTTTAAAAATGAATGAATTAATAAACGCCCAGTCTTATGCCATTAGCCTTATGTTGAGCACAGAATCAATTAGAATCGGCCTACTCACACCAATATCAAGGGTGTGGTTTAATTCTGCACCAATGGCATCAGTCATTTTGTGATGTTAAAAATGAAAACATTGGAGCATCTATGTATCTTCGAACTGAGCCTTACATCTTCCATAATGAAATCCGTCAAACTGTGATTTCGTTTTTACCACAATTGACTGAGAACAGGGCAGATATTTGGAGCTGAGAGTTGAACAAATGACATTTAGCCTCAGGCGTGTGGGTTCACAGGCATATTTGAGTAATTGTGCTTTGAGACTGGAGAAATGTTGCATGTAGTACCCTGTGACTATTCTAAGTTTAGATTGAGACTGTGAGTAAACACACTGTAGCCTAAACTAGTTCCACACCAATGAGCAATGCTGTGTAGCCATTCAGAAAAGGCTCAGGCTACAACTGTAGCCTTTTTATTTCCTGGTTTCATCAGTGTAGCCAGCTCTCTGCTGCTAGTGTTCAGTTATCTTAATTAATGAAGGGTTCTTACAGTATGTTCAGGGTTGTGGCTGTACATTGTGGTTGCACTAACAGTTGAAGTCGGAAGTTTACATACACCTTAGGAAATACATTTAAACTCAGTTTTTCACAATTCCTGACATTTAATCCTAGTAAAAATGCCCTGTCTTAGGTCAGTTAGGATCACCACTTTATTTTAAGAATGTATGTAAACTTCCGACTTCAACTGTAAGTTGAAATGGTATAGCACAGACTTGCACCTTAAAAATACAAAACACCTCACATGAATACTGGATGATATTCTAGAATTTTTGTCTTAAATGTGTTGGTAACATACTACAGTTTATTCCCAAAGTTATGACAAATTAATTAAGTAACATTTTCAAAAATCTTCATATTTACAGAATATTTATTAATATTACATAGCATCTCTTTACATTATGTGAGATACAATATGAGAATACTATGTTGCCAATTTCGATTCTCACTGTGAAGAAATGACCATTGACTTCCACTAAGAGCCTATGAATCTCATCAGGACGACCTAAATTATGAAATTGCTTCTGGGTAACAGGGAAATATGGTTTCTAAGTTTAGCTCATGCACTATAAACCGATTATTTCATCCAAACTACAATAGGGGGAAAACGCTTTTGAGTGACAATTCTTCTCTTTCTCTGAGGGCTTTTCCTCATGGACAATATGCTATTGTGTGTGATGAATAAACATAGGTACTTAGCTAAGCTTATTTCATTTATGTATCAATACTGTTGTTTCCTTTGGCAACATTATGCAGCTCACAATATAAAAAATCTATCCTTTAGATCAAAGACAACATTTAGATGATAAGTGGCTTCATCAATATGACTTACAGTACTTTGTCACTGAAATAAAAATGAATAGAAAACAGGTTATATTTGTGCTAGAAACGTTGTTTGGATTCAACAGAAATACCACACATGAGCCTTAAAAAATATGGGGGGGGGGACATATGCATACAATTGTTGTTGAGGCTGACTTAAAGTGGTAATAGACAAGGTATTCTCCTCAGTCTGCTTGCATTTTGATGACGGTGCATTTTGCTGTTTACAGGGAGAGATGATTGACAGAATTGAGTACAACGTGGAGCACTCCGTGGACTTTGTGGAGCGGGCTGTGTCTGACACCAAGAAGGCTGTCAAATACCAGAGCCAGGCTCGCAAGGTAAGTCACAGGCTCTCCGTATAGCAGGGCTAACGCATATAATGTGTATACGCATATATACTGTACTTCCACATGTTTTATGACTGTTCCTTTGCTGTAACCCACATCCCCCACCTACATGAGGATGTATACATACTGTACATTCTAATATACATACTATATGAATGACATCATATAAACACACATACACACATACTAAAATAGGCACAGCATCCTCCTACAGTCAATCATACCCCAAAAGGTTAATGCCCACCACCCCCTCATACTATATTATTAAAGAGTACACACACCACACTCTAATAACAATAATATTCACCACCTCTTCATGTACAGTACATTTCCTCTTGGGCATTCCACCCTCACTCACACAGTACCTTAATGATTAGCAAGCTACCAACCTCCACACATGATAGCTTTGGACACAATGTACACACTAATGTTTTGTATAGTTAAATGAAATTGTCCCTTACCGTAAAATGTGTTCAGAAACTGTCCCATAGCATGTATACAATCACAAGTCTCCCTGTGTCTTGCTAACACCATCACTGCCTTGTTGTCCCCCCCCCTGCAGAAGAAGCTCATGATCATCGTCTGCTGTACTATTTTGGGAGTCGTCTTGGCGTCCACTATCGGCGGATACCTGGGCTTTTAATGACGACAACGACGAAAGACGGCCGCAAGAGAAAAAAAAACACACAGAGAGAAAAACATCAAATACAATTTCAGATAAGGAAAACGTTCTAAAAGGGGTTGGGTGGGGTTGAAAAAACAAAGACAAAAAAACAAAACCGACATTATATCTGACTAAATACATAACGTATACAAAAAAGAGGGTACAAATAAACATAATATTTGCAATGTTCATGTAAATGTATTGAACATAAGAAACAGCACATGGGTTAGCTACCTGGAAAGAAATATGACGTAAAACATTTTTTTTAAACGTTTCTTTCTTTTTGGGGGGGATCTCCAGGACAGTGCCAATGACTGCTAAATTGTGTGTTGTTCCAGCAAAGGTAGTTTACTTGGACGCGATTTTAGAACATAATGCACAAAACTGTAGAAAGGAATTGGGATGATCGGTGTAGCTTATTTCATAGATACAATAATCACGTTTCGTTGGGAGAGACTGACTTTGGTTTTGGTTGAACAGTGTCTTTTAGAGACTTCTCATGAGTTGATTATTCCTGTAAATCACGTTAATCAGCCAGTCAAATTAGTGTAGTCAACTTGAGCAACTTGCCAATTGGCTAATCAAATCTCCTAGATAGGCATTCATTTGCAACAATGTCTTTACTTCGACCAATAGGGACAAGAGCTTACACCCATGGAGCTGTTACAACGGCAGATGAAAGGCCCTGGCTGACAGACAGATGGAGGCGTCTCCTTTAGGGCGTGGCACTACAGTAGCAGCTTTAAAAAAATAACTGACAGTTTGCAGGTGCTCAAGAAAAGCCCTTCTCTGCTCTTATCCATACAGTAGAAGCATGGAGAGAGGAATGTCTCCGGGTCTTCAGCTAATTCGAAATGCCTGTAGCAGAAACCAAATTCTGAGAGACAGATTAGAGAGGTGAGACAGGAGGGGGGGTGGGGTAAACCGACGGTCAAACTATGCAGTTTTGACAAAGAAAGCTGACCAGCTCGAGTTTTCCCAAGGATGTTAAAAGAGAACAAACAGAGACAAAATGTATATTATAAAAGGTTGCAAGATACACCAGAGAGGTAAGGAAGAGAGGGAGGTGAAAGAAAGATGGACCTTTAGCCGTCATGCCTGTTCTACAGATGTTGCTAAAAATGGGGAACATGTTAAAAAGTAAAGATGAAAATTTAACAACGGAATCTGAAAACTTGAAATGCTGGCTAGCCCTGGTGTAGAGTCTCATGTCTTACTTTGGAAGTGGTTAGTTCTACTGTGGTTGTGTAGTGTGTGACGTGTCCTGTGACATATAGTCTGGCCTCATATTTCCTTTATGGACCTTCTTTAGCTATATTTTGCCGTTTGCTTTATTTTATTATCAAAGATACAAAACATATAAGCAAATGGGTACTGTGAATGGAACAAGTTTGTGTGCCCATCTCGTGAAATTTTATTTTTTACTAAGCAAAGTATATTCTTAAAAAACACGCAACTATAGAATCTATTCACAAAACATGTTATTTATTAATAATTTAACAATTGGTAGGTCATGTTGAGCTTTTTAGGGAACCTATTCAACCCTCTGCTTGTGTTGTTTGGGTGCTATTTCATGAAGATGGGCGTTTTTCCTCTTAATATTCCATTGATGGTGCTGAAGTATTACCAGTTCAGAATGCCAAGGTTAGGAGAGAATACTGTGCTCTATGATTACACATTCTAGAAATGAATGCCATTTGAGTTCAGGCTAAGAACAGATATGAATGCTGCTACATTTATCTGAAGGAGACAACTCTACCTTGCCAAGGAAATATGCATGGCAACATGATACGGATGTCATAGTGACTCTGTTGAAGCCAGCACTGTAAAGTCGCAGATTAAGATCCAATTGCGGGAATAACTGGATCAAAATCATGACTCATGAGCCTTGCCCTCAAAGTCCCAATTCCCTGGCTTGCGTTGACGGTGTTGGCGCCGACTAGATGAACTAAAGCGTTCTGACTGTTTGGGGTCACCTTCATGGAATAGTGTCCCTGTGTGGTTCATATGGCAAGGCCCTACCCCCTGTGATCTAGATTGGACATGGACCTAATCAGAATGTAGAATATACTCTACGATCAATAGATGTTGAAAAAGCAATAACTTTATTGCTGGTGTATTGATTTTATTTTATTATAGTCAATTTAAAGATGAACCCAATTATCCTTTGATGTTAGCTTCCTATATGTAAGATCTTCATAGGATATAAGTTGTAGCCTAGCGGTTAAGAGTGTTGGGCCAGTAACTGAAAGGTTGCTGGTTTGAATACCTGAGCTGACTAGGTGAACAATCTGTTTATGTGCCCTTGATCTGGATAACAGCGTCTGCTAAATGACTTAAATGTAAGTCATAAGTTGTACTTTTCTTCATTTCAAGTGCCCAAACAGACTATGCTAGCCACCGCAAGATGAAACTGTGTTTTCTTGTAACTGATACTTTGACTGTATATGTTATAGTTTTAAGGAAAAAACTATATGTTGTCAAATGTTTTCTTAAAAAACTAATTATGTGTTGAATATGTCCTTAATATTGTATATTCAGAGGGAGGAGCCAGCTCTCAGTTTTCTGAACATGGATTTTAAGAGTGCTATGGAAATGTAGCTAAATTCAACATTTCCAAATGCCAAAAGTGACTCTGTTCAGTGTAAAACTAAAGGCGGATGATTTTACTCCACGAGTGTCCCAACACAGAGAATCACGTTAGATTAACCTTCTGACACAGAATTGTCTATTAATGAAAATCTCACAGGACATTGGATAGGATATTTCAGAGTTAGCATACAGGAGACCTAATTCATCTTACCTATTGGCTGCTGCAAAATCAATACACACCCACCCACACTTCACAGTTACATGGTCATTCCCCTGTCATTGTCATCAGCAAGGAACATTCTTTGCTTAAGTCATCGGATTCTTGGTGAATTTCTAAGTCAAGTGGCCCTATGATGGTCATCCCTGACTGACTGTCATTGAACTGTCTCTGTTGTCGTCCAAACTTTAAACTACAGTAACTACATTAAAATTATGTTCCACTTTCAGCTCAGGGGCCAACCAAATCATGGCCCTTTGAAGTGCTAAGTAGTAGTACGTTCATGCTTTGTGCTAAGGCCTGCCATATCATCATAAGGACAATACTTGCAATAAATAGGAAACTGAAACCTTAAATGAAATGTTCAGTCATTTCACATATCCATGCAAACGGCTATTTGGTTCTGAGTGTGAAACAGTGGCCTTTGATAGTGGGCTGTCCTTACAGAATGGAAGTTTGCGTTGCTGACTTTTTCCATGAACAACAACATAACATTAGGAGATTGGCACTCACTTACACCTATGAGCAAGAAACAACAAAAAATGGCCTCTATTTAAACATGATTTAACTTCAGGACTAACCCATGTCACTGTTTTCTACGTGCATACCGGTAACCACTTTTGAGTTCAGTCCCACGGCTCTTATATTGTCTTGATGAAGTCCAATTTGTATCTTTCCATGGAACGTCTTGCTGCAGCAAGAGATATTGAGGGTATAGGAATGGAGAACGGGAAATGTAGGGTCGTTCGACTAACATCTCCACCCACAGATCCAGGAGGGAATCTGACTATAGTCCTCAAGTCATTCCAGCACTGGCCAGCATGTTTTTTTTAAAGCTTCTGTGTATTTAATGTGTCCAACCACTTACATGTACAGTTAAAATGGGGTTATATTGATGTCGTTGTTTTTTTTTTAAAGGAATACGGCTAGGGAGCCCTTATTCTTTAAGGCATGCAACTTTCGGCTTTGTGAGTTTGCATGGTGATTTCTGCTCTCAATCATGTGCGCACTTTACACTCTTTAAGAAAACACTGTCTATCACGTTCACGGTTTAATTTATCGATCGATTATTTATATTTACTCACTGGGGACGGGGTGAGGGGGTTCTAGTTATATTGTTGCTGGTGTCTGTTTTATCGCAAGTCTACAGAGACATCATATTTACATTGGTACGTCCAGAGGGGTGATCTACGTATGTACGAGTGTGTGTAAACCTCTGGGTACTGTTTGGTGCAAAATATCGTCCCTCCCTTCCTCCAGAGTACCGTAGTGTGCGGTTTTCCCCCATCATGGCAGAACCACTGGTAGTAATTCTGATACATTCCATTCTGTACCCCTCTTTCTCTCCCATGGCATCTATCCCACTTTGCTTCGAGTGCTTCTATGGTGACGTATGCGTCCTTTGTGAGGAAACGTTAATCGTGAGTCTTTAAACTGCGAGTGCAACTTGTGAGCTCCTAGGCCTTGTGTGCATGCCCCTCGTCCCAGGCAAAAAAAAAAGATGATGTGTGTGTTTGTGTGTGAGCATGAACATTTGTTTGTGTACGGTATGTGTGTGCCCGTCTGCGATCGACGCAGACCAGTTGCATCACACTCTGAGCACGCGACTAGGCGTAAGGGCTGTTCGGGTTTAGCAGGTCCATGGGTTGTAGCTGTTGAGTTCCAGTTTTATGTTGAAAACAGAACAAAAAATATATACACTATTTATATATGTTACCAAATTCAAACCAAAGCATTTTGCCCCACGTGTTCTCAGTCACCTGATCAAAGAGCACAAAGAAAGTCAAGTTTACAAAAAAAAATGCTTATAATGTAATAATAGTAATCTAGAGTTATCATCCAGATTATATCCCCCCTTCAAATCATTGTATGTTGTTCTGTCAGCTAATTGATTCAAACCTCAGAAATGACTTGTTGAATAGACTTCACATATTGTCCTTTAATCATTCGTAGTTTGTAGTCTTTGTGGTTGTAATAGTGAAAAGAGATGCATAATCATATGATATACATGCAGTCCTCTTACACTTGAGTCCAAAGGAGACAACAGTGACTATTATTATTTGGTGAGATACATATCCCTATCCACATTTCTATATAGTCTACACACCTGTCTTTATGCACACAATATCTACATCTTTTTTGTTTTGGCCTCTTTACCACCCAATTTGAT